AGCACCTGGAGGAGATTTGCTTTTGATCTAGTGAGTTTTATCTACAGTGCAAAACAGAATTCTGTGTTTTGGAGACGTATATTGCCTTCTATTAAATAGATAGAAACTCAATCAAATTGTTTGATGTCATCTCATCTCTCTTCTTGCAGCATTAATAAAATGTCAAATCTGGATTCAATACGTGCGCGGCTTGAGGAAGCAATATAAGCTGGACAACGCTAGGTTTTCTGAAGTTATTTACTGTAAAAAGCAGATTTAGCCCTATTTCATTAGCCATCTTGGAAATATTTTAATTAATCAGTTGTTCATGTAAAAGCACATCTGCGTGGCCTAATCTATTAGTAGTATGAAGGGTTTGTCAAGAATGTTATTTAACAAGAAGATTATGGAAATATCTATTCCTTTTCTCTACAGTTTTTGGTGTTCTTTCAGCAGCATAAAAAACGCTTGACCACATTTGCATGAACTTCAAAACATTATATCTGACTCGCCAACCTTAAACTAAAAATACCCAAGAGATATATAAACAAATACCAAAAGACTTTATAATTGCTCTATTTTATTCTTGCGTTCGAAAAAGTACGATGCATAATCTTCAACCATCGATTGTATCTCTTTTTCCTTGTCTTCTGCTGTAGGTTCCATATAAGACCAACTAACCAAATAGAGACCCATGCTGATGATTGAAGGAAAATTTCATGAGGAGAATCCCCCTACCAACAACATGAGACAATTAACAAGCTTGAAATGAAGTAAATATATAAATTTGGTTATCAGTAGAATCAAATTGTGTCTAGTAATGAAATTGCTACAGCAAAACATAAACTATTCTCAACCTTAATCATTATCTCTTCCTATTTTCATGCAGCTGCTAACCTTTCACAGATCTCTCAGTGCAGTGAACCCCCGACACTGAAATAAAACATGGTCTGAAAAAACAATACAAAATATAATCCCTCTTCCAAAATAGCTAAAGATCTGTATTGGCTCTACACCAAAATCAACCTGGCAGAGACCGGAGCAACAACTGCTCTCAATCTAAACCTAAAATAGCTTGCACAATCTCCGCCTAGAAAGAATTAAAAATGTAAGAGATACCCAGAAAGATTTTCTCAAACACCTGCAACAATTGAGAAAATCCCAGCAAATTAAGCAGAACTCTTCTTGTTTCTAAAGCTTTCCTTCAGCAAAGTAAATTTTTTCTTGCATTGATTCACAGTCTTCCCAGGAACAGCAGCAGCAACTCGCTCCCAACGCTGACTGGCTTCCTTTGGAAAGGTTTTCAGGGCCTGAACCAGTGCTCTTTCTTGTACAGCAGACCATACATCCTGCTCTGAACCTGACGATACTCCATTTTCAGCAATTCGATCGTTAGGATTTTGGTCTTTTGTGCTTCCGCTTGACGACTCTCCTGATTTATCTACCTTTTCAGCAGGGGTTTCAGTGCCCTGAGGAGGAGTCAATACCCCTTCTACTTCAATTCTCGTTGTAAGTGGAGAAGCAATAGATGGTGTGGGCTTCCTCTTTTCAAGAAAAGAATCAAAAGCTTTGCTAGAATCAGGTTTCTGGAGGAGGACTGTTTTGGTTGCCTTCAGAATTTCTTCCACAGATCTTCCAGTACCAATGTAATCTGAAACAACCTCCCACCTCCGAGAGGTTCCTTTCGGAAACTTTAGCATTCCTTTTCTCAAAAGCTCAATTTCTTCTCTGCTCCAAGGTTTCTCCTTCTTCTCATAGCTGCCTAACAGCACAGTACCATTAGTCTCCACAGAACCATTCTGTTGTAGAGTTTTCTTCTCATCTTCTTTCTTACCCTCCAAATCATTTTTATATCCACATGCATCTCTAAGAACTTCTGCTCGCTCCAGCCCCTCTTTGCCCTCCATCCTCTCACATATATTCCTAAGCTGCTCAATATCAAGAGACATACAGAGACTTTCCACATCATCCTCGGCAAGACTGAGTAAACGGTTCGAAATAACAGGCCCTGAAAGTGTTCGAAGTCGACTCCGCTCTTTGCGCAGCAGTTTCTTCTCTTTCTCTTTCAACTTCTTCTGCTGCAAAGCTATTTCTGCAGCTCGTTTCTCCTCCTCCTCCTTCCGTCGCTTCTCCTCTTCTACAGCCCTGGCTGCTTCCTCCTCCTGTAATTTCTTGGCAAGATACTTGGCCTCCTTTTTCCTTTGCTTCTCAGCTTTCTCTGCTTCCTTTCTCCTCACAATTCTTGGGTCTCTTTTATACGCATTGTCAACAAGAGTACGTATTCTAGCATACTCCTCCTTCCTAGCCTTTTCTGAAAGCTTTGCATTCTGCCTCTCCATCCACCTCTTATGGTCACGAGACTCAGCTTGCTCAAGATCAAACTCATCGGTATGTGGGAACTCTCTCCAGCTCTTGAAGGTGTACCAAAAGTCATAAAAACTATCTACTTCCTTCAGGGGAGTATTCTCATCACCTAAAAATGGGATTGGCTGGTTAACCGACCACCGCCCATTCCTCATAAAAGCAGGACCAAACACCTTGAAGAAGTCCTGTGGGGCACAATCAGTGGGGATTTCATCATCAAACTCATCAGTGGAGTCATAGATTCTTCTCTTCACAGGGTCAATTAATGCCTCGTACGCTTCTTGGATGGACTTAAAGTGGCTCTCTATCTCGTCCTTCTTTGTTTGTTTAGCAGCTTCAGTTTCCTCATTAAGAAGAAGAGCAGCCTGTTTGTCAGGATGGTATTTCAAGGCAGTCTCGCGATAGCTTTTTCTTATCTGTTCCTCAGTGGCAAGGTATCTTAAATGACTCAAACCTAACAACGCATAGTGATCTTGTTGTTTGCCTTCAGCACCAGATTTTTTTTTACCTTTGCTGCTGTATGAATCAAATGATGGTATAGAAGTCGGCTCCTTATCATTAACCACCTTCTGAACATCAGCATCTTTTTCCTCCTCCACACAACCAAGAAGTTTAAGTGCCACAGCATGGAAAGAATGCCCAGCTGGTTCAAGCTTCAAAGCCTTGATAGGAAGGCAGTTTGAAGAAACATAGACCGGTTGTCCATCAACCAACTCTTGCGAGTACGAAATAAGGCGAAACTTGGATTGGACATTCATGACGTTTACAAGAAATCAACAGTGCCAAGAACTGTATAAAATGACAAATTTTGTACTCAAGAAAAAGCTTCACTGCACTTCAGAACCCAGTTAATATGACACCTCACAATCTCCACACTGCAATAACAAGCAAAGCAAACCTCAATCAGAAAATCTACAATACCAAATGATGCAAAATAAATATGATACACAAACTATTGAACATGTATAGAATATCATAATCGTGGTACAGGTCCAAACAGAGAAACCAACCCTTCTTCAACATACAGACGTACAGGCATTTTCTAGACGCAACTCAATAAATTTAACTAGAAAACATACATCATACTGTTTGTTCCATGAATTACACACCAGTACCAGTTACCACCGTATAATTATACCATGTTTTCCAACAAAGATTATTACTTTATTAACCAAGAAAATCAACAAATAAAAAAAACTTTTTGGGTTATTTCATATTTGATGGTATCGAAACATAGCTACTTGACCTCTCAAAAAGACTCTACAGATTCCATGCAACCAAGAAATGACCAACACAACAAGACGATTCAACAGAAATTGACAAGAAACAAAATGAAGGTCGACGAAAAACAAACCCTAACCTTGAGCTGAGAAAATGAAGGCGATGAGGGCTTGCAATGGAGCTTTTGGCGGAGAAGCTCGAGTCTTGTACGACGATCGAAGCTCTACCGGACTTTGCTGGAAACGCAGTCGCTCGTTCGGTCTGGTTTTAGTGGTTTTACATATATAAAGCTCGGATGCCCTAATCGATTACAATTGGGGGATGTTCACGATCTGCATCGAACACGTGTCACGTGCCTTCGTTGATACTATTTATACTATTGGGCCGCCGCCTCCTGTACGTCGTTCGTTTTTATGGGCCCAATACTGGTTGTGTTTGGGCTAAAATGGAAAGCAACGACATGTCGTAGGAGATTCTATAACATATATATATATATATATATACAGTCCCCTTCTATTGAGGGATCCCTCAAATAATTTTATTTGAGGGACGCCCTTTAGGGTACCTTACAATTTTTTTTCCAATGATCAAAACCATCTATTTTTTAGATCTTCATTTATAGATCATCCTTACAAAAAATTAGACAAATCGGAAACCGTTTCGACATCCAATTGTGTCCTACAAAATCAATGAACACGGTGCTTCAAGAAAGTACTAAAATTTCAATAACTCAATTGAATGGTCAATTTTTGGGTGCTAAAATATAAACACTTATATATGGTTGCACTTATACCAATAATGCCCATTAATTATCACCGCTATATTACTTTATTCCCCAAATTTTAAATTGATTCACATTATCATAATTTTTTTTTTAGTACAGTTATAGTCGTTAAATTGACAGATTCATCATTCTCTGTTAGAGTATAAATTAATCGTAAATTATTAAATTGAGTTCGCACTATTTATGAATTTATCCTTAACTTAGAAGTAAAAAGGCCATAACCAGACCTAAATTTCACATGGTCCCATAATTTTTTTTAATTGTATGTTTTTCCCTATAGTTTTATTATGCTATTACTTTTTGTTTAAATTGTCTATGAGTTCATTTGTATGCATGTATCCTATTTTAGCTCATTTTCGTTGAAGGGAATGCCCTCACACACATGCTCAACAAATTAATGCTAATGAGATTAGTAGATGATTTGAACTCAAAGTGGCAACCTAATTGGACAAAAATGATCATAAAATTTCATGGAATTGGCGACCACATGTCGCATTTGGGAAGAGTATTTTTGTCAATAGCATGCAAATGCTACATTTTAAATATAAAAAATCTAAAATCGAAAGGGAGGAAAGCAACGACAAGTCGTAAGCCCGTGGTCTGGTAAAGAAAATTGAAAGGCACATTTTTTAACAGGCAGTGCGAAGACGGAGGCAAACCATGGCGTCTCTGCCTCCACTGATACGGCGACGTTTTCTCAGCACCAGCACCAATGTCCCAAAGAAATGGGCGGTGAAGGAAGTGACCAAGTTGAATTTCAAGAAGTCCCTGGAGGAGTTCAAGGACCACCTCGCCGGCGCGGACTTCGTAGCCGTCTCGCTGCAGAAAACGGGGTCGTTTTCTGCGGCATGGCACCGTCCCCAACCCTTCGACACCGCCGACACGTCGTATTGCAAGGCCAAGTACGCCGCAGAAAGGTTCCAGCTTCTTCAGTTCGCCGCCTGCCCCTTCACTCTCAGAGCCTCCAAGCTCACTCCTCACCCGTCCGTACACTTATACTATACATATGTGCATAAATACGTACATATTACATGTAGAGAATGAGATTGGTAATGCGGGTTTGTTGATTTTGATGCAGATACAACTTTGTATTGTTCCCAAGAGATGAATTGAAGCTGGGGATGCCATCTTATAGCTTTTCAGTTCAAACATCACATTTGACTTCCATGGCTCAAGAAGGTTTTGATTTTAATGCCTGCATATATAATGGTAAGCCTGCCCTAATGATTTATCATTTCACTTCCTAATCACCAAGTTTATGATATATGATAATACCCAAGTCAATATTTTTAGGAAAATGAGAAGAAATATGAAAGTTAAGAACATATGATGTATTGGGGAAAAGTGAGACAAAAAATAAGGACTGATTTTCTTGTTGTGTACAATTTGAGATTTTGCAAGTCTGTAACTTATATGAGGTTTTGAGATTTTTTGTCTCTTTGTCTTTTGAGACAGGTATATCATACTTGTCCAGAGCACAAGAATCTGCAGCTAAAGTGCGGATAGGGAATCCAAGCCCCAGCACCTATATAATGAACTCTTCTTCGACCCATACCGTTGCTGATACAGTTTTTATTGAAAGAATTAAATCACGAGTCAAGCATTGGAAGAATGCGTGTAGGAGTTCAAAGAAAGATGGTTAGGACTGAAAATGCAATAGATTGTATTTACATCCATTATCTTTCCTTTGATTTTGTTATCTTTTTTGTTAAAAAGTGTATTATTTTTCATTTTGCAGATGCTCTGCTTAGTTCCTTACGAAAACTTGTCTTGGGGAGTGAACTTTATGGATCAAGGCCATGCATGAATATAGATGTTTGCAGTGAACGTCAAATACAGCTTGCATTGGAGGTTGGTTGATCTGATTTTTCGGATACTTTGGCTGAAGCCCTGTCGTCTGGTGCTGATATGCTTAATCAGAGTTTTGTTTGGTTTAATGTTTGATGTCATTGGTTGCAGATGTTGAGGGAGTTCTCTGATGAACTTGTTCCTTTAATAATCCCAGCAAAGGGTGGAGGAACTCAGGCTGTTCGTGTCGTTCTTACAAGTTCTAAGGAGGACAAGGACTCGTTTGAGGTAGAGGAGATTTTCAATTCTTAGTGTTTTGCATCATCAAGCTTAGTATAATCAACATTTGGTTTGAATGTTTACAGAGAGAACTTCAAAACCTTGAAGAGGAACAAAACCAGAGAGTTCGGGGATTTCGAGAGGTGATCGATTTGATTTCTGCTTCACAGAAACCTGTTGTCTCCCACAATTCCCTTAATGGTGTATCTCTATTTAATAAATATCTATGAGCTTTAATACCCCCGACTTGGCCTCTGTTCTTTCTTAGTTTCTTAACTTATAATTTAATTTTGTTTTATGCAGATTTCACGTTTATTCATTCAAAGTTTCTCTCCCCCCTGCCGACTAATGTAGACGAGTTCATGGACTCCTTGCACTTGGTTTTCCCTCACTTACTTGATGTCAACCATATGATGAAGAATATTGGCCCTCTAAGGAAGGTGACCAATATACATGCAGCTATTTCCTACCTGAATAATCATTACTTTGCACCCATTGATATGGAAAACTTGCCCCAAGGTAGTCATTTCTCCTAGTTTTCATGTACCGCACAGACACTCTAGAGAGAGTACAGTAATGCTACATGTTTGTTGCTCTTGTGGGTTTTACCTCTGGGTGTTCTTGCGGCAGGTTTGATATGGGAGGGGGGAAAACACAAAAATCAAAAATCAAAAATCAAAAGAACAAAAGAACAAAACAAACAAACAAAAAAAACTTTGGCAGATTGCTTGACTAGTTTTCAATAAAATAACCTCATTTTTGTGAGATTTCTCTTCATCATGCCATGATCTTTTACTTCAGAGCAAGCCTCACTTTTATTATGTATACAATGTTTGGGGTTGTCCATTACAGAAAATGAAGAAGGCACAGTTCATAGGCATAATGTGGTGAAGATGTGTTATCTGTTTGCAAAGCTCTGCTCCATTCTGAAAATTCCAGACAATGCTATGACATCTAACAATGCACTGTTGGCTCCAGCCCCTGAAGAGTATACAAACATATCCAATCCGTACCCTGACAGCCCCCAAGAATCAATCAATGATGATATCAGAATCTGGACAAAGAATATGAAAAAAGTCAGCTGCAATCATTTGGTATTCTTATGGGGATTTAGAAGTGGCATGACTGCGGGGATGCTCAAGAGCTTGTTGCACAAGTCACATGACGTTTTCTCAGAAGAATTTGATGTTCGGTTAGTGGACAAGAGCTGTGCTATTGTTGTTTTCTGGCGACCTGGTTTATCCGAAACTTTTCTGGATTTCGTGAGTGGTGAAGAGATTTGTGGATCTTTAAGGGAGATGGTTTCGGAGGGCCTAAGAGCATCGAGTTATGAGGCTTACAAGAGAGTCTGCAGGTTGGGCTTATGGGAAGCAAATTTAGCAGAGTCCTTAGACAGAGCCTTAGAAGACCCAGACTGCCTTGTGGAAGCTAATTTAGCAGCAAACTGCAAAGAAATCTATTGGTCTAGCGACTCAACGATTAATTTTGACAACTTGTAATAATATGTAAAAGTCCATGCCTTAGAAATGAGATCAGTTTTGCTCTAACTCATCTGTGTACGGCAGAGAATTGTTGCTTACCATCCCAAAATAGAGACTTTATGGCGTTGCCCTCCGTATTTTGAGGGTAATCTCACGTTTTGGCAAAGACACTTGGGGCCCGTCTGGTAACGTTTTCGGAGAATGTTTTCTGAGAATATTTTCAGAGAATGAAAACAAGAAAACAAATTTGCATTTTCAGGAAATGAAAATGCGTCTGGTAGATTAATTAGAAAACATCTTTAGAAAACAAAAACAATGAAAACGTGTCTGGTAGTACAATTGTTTTTCAGGTGTATTTTTGCTAATTTTAGTTCTAATTTTTTTTAATTCTGATATTTTTAGAGGCTAAAATTATTGTAAACAATGAAAAAAAATTAAGCTCAAAAACTACCTTATCTCCTTTTTTTCCTTTTTTTCTTTTTCTTCTTTTTCTCCTTTTCTCTCTTTCCTCCTTTTTTCTTCTTCTTTTCCTTCCCATGGCTGCTTCTTTTTTCTCTTTTTCTTCCTCTTTCCTACTTTCTTCCCCTTTTCTTCTTCCTTTCCTTCCCCAGGCCGTTTCTTTTTTCTCCTTTTCTTCCTCTTTTCTTCTTCCTTTCCTTCCCAGGCCACACCCACTCCTCCTTCCTTCCATGGCTGTGATGGTTTGATTGGGTGATGATGGTGGTTGAGTTGGGTATGTGGTGGTTCTTCTTCTTGTCTCTGTTTTTTTTTCTTCTTCTTCCTCTGTATTTTTTTTTCTTAATTTGCAGATTTGTTTATTTTGGGTTGGAGAAGATGGGTGTTGTTCCTGTTGGTGGGTTTATTGGTTGTCAAGAGAGAGAGCTAGAGTTGTTGATGGGATGCATTCTTGTGTCTTCGGAAAACACTGAAAATGAAATCACTGAAAACAACTTTTTTTCATTTTCAACTTTTGTTCACAAAGTCAGATTTGTTTTCAGAAAACGTTTTGTGAGGGAAAACGAAAACGATGCACCGAACGTGTTTTTGTGAAAAACAGGAAACAAAAACAGAAAACAAGCTCTAAAAACATTACCGAACGGGCCCTTGTATTTTTTGGTTAATTTTTATATGGTAGAATGAAAAAGAGACAGGATTATGTACTCTTAAACCAAAAAAAGGCTTATGATGCATAACCATCCAACCATGCATATTACTACAAAGTTCTAATTGGTAAACTCTCTTCAATTGTGTTACGGCTATATTTCTTCTTCTCGTTTTTTATTTTGTATAAGGGGAATTTGAACTTGAATGCAAGTGGAGCGGACTCATTATCTACGTACGTATGCGTTCTACATGTTCCTTAGAGCATCTCCAAGGGGCAGGGGCAAAGTATGTTTGCCTCGTTTGAGGAGTGTGGCCATTTTATCTCGTTTCCAACTTCATCCTTCCTTACCTAGAATGGCGATGTGGTAAGGCATACGATACCCCTTTGAGTTGCTCTAGGCCTCTAAAAACAAAATATTACCTGTTTTTTTTATTTTTTGTTGATACAAACAAATATTACTTTAAATAAGTAACATTGATTCAGAGTTTAATATATAGACTGGTGCTTCTATAAAAGGATCCGCCACCGGCTGTTTCAAATAAATCGACGTCGTTTCACGGGAACACTCTGCTTCAAGTCAACGTTCGAATTCAAAAAGTCTCATTCACAGAGCTGTAGCTTGAACTCAGATCAACAGAAGAAAGTCAACGAAGTTTCAATGGCTTCCGATTCTGAACCGGCACCTGCATCCCATTCCGACCAAACATTTGATGTTCTGGTAATTGGAGCTGGAATAATCGGGTTGAGCATAGCCCGGCAGTTCCTGATCGGGTCGGACCTATCCGTCGCCGTAATCGACAAGGCTGTCCCTTGCTCCGGTGCCACCGGAGCTGGTAAGCATAACATTTAGCTCCTTACAGATTGTTTGGCAGGCGTGAATATTAAATTTAATTAAATGCATGAAAAAGGCATTCATCTGAAAAAATGTTGGGTCAAGTGAAAAATTGATGAAAATGTGGACCTTGTTTTTAGGCCAAGGCTATATATGGATGGCATCCAAAACAGTTGGCAGCGAGGGTTGGGAGCTGGCTCTGAGAAGCCAGAAGCTCTGGGAGGAATTGGCTGAGAGTTTGAAAGATCAAGGCTTGGACCCTTTACAATTATTGGGTTGGAAAAAAACAGGTACTAAAACATTTATGAAAAGTATTTTCACATCAAATTAATTCGCAGAATTATGTGACAGTGTTTCATTTATTCAAATGCGGACCGACTTTTAACTTCGTTTATTGTTAACGTGTGTACTAACACATTATTTTCAGAGTTGTCAAATTTGGTGACTATAGCATTAGTTTTTTTTTTGTTTTTTGAAAGTGTTGGTTTGGTTTTATAGGAAGCTTGCTAGTTGGTAGAACCCCGGAGGAGTCTGACAAGTTAAAAAGGATGGTAAAGCAGCAATGTGAAGCTGGGTTAAGAGCAGAGTACTTGTCTGCCAGTGACTTGCATGTGAAGGAACCTGAACTCATGGTTGATAAAGATACTGGGGCTGCCTTTCTACCTGATGATAGCCAACTGAATGCCCGTCGCGCTGCTGAATTTCTTGAAAAGGTTCATTTGTTTTTAAGAAAAGGAAACCAAAACTATTTAGCTATATGAACAAATTTAGTGACCTTATCTTTATCGGTCTATAAATCATTCCCACTTTTGTAGGGCAACAGGCATTATTCATCAAAGGGTAGATATGCAGAGTTTTATAATGATCCAGTGATAAGTTTGTTAAGGTTTGCTATCGAACTTTTTTGGGTGCGCTGGGCTAGATTGTTAAGCTAATACTATTGTAACTCTTTATGTGTGTGCTCAGGTCTGATGGCAGTGGGGAGTTTAAGGCTATTAAGACTTCTAGGAATATCTTGCGCAGCAAGAAGGCCATTGTAGTGGCAGCTGGTTGTTGGAGTGGCTCTTTGATGTCTGATCTGCTTAGAGAATCAGAAATTGTCCTGGACATCCCCGTGAAACCACGAAATGTTTAAATCTACAATTCAAACAGACTTCTTCTTGCATAGATGTTAAAATATCATAGTTGGGTTTTCCAGATGCATAAATGTCATCTATGTTGCTTTGAATTTGTGTCATTTATATGTCATTTGATCTGTGTGACAGGGTCACCTTCTAGTGCTGGAGAATTTTAATTCCTTTCAACTCAATCATGGTCTGATGGAGGTAGGATATATTGATCATCATCATACTGCAGTTCCGCTTCCAAGCTTATCAACTTCCGGGTTGCTTGATGATCATGATGGGCAAGCCTTGTCTGTATCAATGACAGCCACTATGGATACAATGGGGAACATTGTTCTTGGTAAAACATTACCTTGATGACTCGTTTCTTTTCTTGAGAAAACATGCAATCATGTAATTATAACTTGCAGTTATTTGCTATGGCTTTGCAGGGAGCAGCCGCCAGTTTGCTGGTTTCTGCACTGAAGTGGAAGAATCCATCGTTAACCGCATATGGGAGAGGGCGGGGGAGTTCTTTCCCAAATTGAGAGAGAAGCCCCTCTCTGATTTCAGTAAGAGCAGAGAAGTGAGAGTAGGATTAAGACCTTACGGTAAGTCCTGATATCTTTTAGAACATAATGAAAATATACAAAATCTGGATCGTTTAATATTCTAAGGATTTCAAATTCATGCTAGAACTAAAAAAAAAAATTGGTCATGTAATTGATGAATGACATAACCTGTACAATCTCAGTGCCTGACGGGAAGCCAGTGATCGGGCCTGTGCCAGGTTTGGCCAACGTGTTCCTTGCAACCGGGCATGAAGGGGAAGGACTTACTATGGTAGTACTCATTACATTGTGATTCAGCTGATTATATAGAAATTTATACACTGAGAAATATTTTTCCCAACATTTCTTGCTTGTTGCAGATATCTTATAACCGTTATTACTTGTAAGTCAAGTAAAGAAAGAATTATCCATCCTTTTTGGTTCGATTTCAGGCTCTAGGAACCGCCGAAATGCTTGCAGATATGGTGCTAGGCAATCCTCAAAAGGTTGATTCTGCGCCATTTGCTGTTCATGGTCGATTTTGATGATAAAACGATACAGAAGAGGAACTTCTGGTGGCTGCCATCGGAAAAGCCTATTTGAACATTTCATACCTCAAGGTTACAAAGATTGTGGTTGCCTCAATGAGAAGAGAGGAACAGTCATAGTGGACATGAAAATCCATCTTCCTTCTTGTAATTATTCTTTGTGTCAACTTGTCTCGATTACGATCAAATCAAACAACGCATTTTCTAAACGATGCTTGGTTAATTGGCCTTTAAATGTTGCTATCAAGCAGCATTGATGCAAGATTAACATGGACTGTGATGTGATTTTGTTGTTTATGATTATCACAAGGTGTTTTTGTTTGAATCTCAAGTTAAGAGTTTTGGTTGACCCTTTTTTCAGTCCATACTTTTATACCAAAATTACATTATAAATTACAAAGAGGAGAATTCGAACTCGAATATAAGCCCTGATTAAGTGCCCTAACTCACTTCCGCAACAGTGCCCTAACTCACGTCCCTATTCCAAACACATTTTGAGTCCATTTTAAATGGCGGTTTTCTGTTGACATTCTAGAAAAGGACCAACTCACTTTTCCAATGAAACGACGCGTCGTCTGGCGGGAATACTCTGCTTCCCTTCATAGACAACATTTCAATCTCACTCACAGTAACAGTTGACAGTTGTTCCCTCGTACCATAATACCTGGAGAAAGCCAGCAAAGTTTCGATGGCTTCAGCTTCGACCTTTCTCTCACACCCAAACCCTCAAGCAAACGACGTCGTCTCCTCTGCAATATGCCAGTTCAAGTCATGCAGCTTCGCCTCACAGTCAACCTTGTTTGGCTCCAAATTCGCATCCAAATCGCTTTCGTTGCACACCGCCACAACCCGACCCGAACCCGCCTGCGCTTCCGATTCGGAACCGATATCTGCATCCCATTCCCATCAAACATTCGATGTTCTGATAATCGGAGCTGGAATAATAGGGTTGACGATAGCCCGGCAGTTCCTAATCGGGTCGGACCTGTCCGTCGCCGTAATTGACAAGTCTGTCCCTTGCTCCGGTGCCACC